TAACAAGTGGGAGAAACAATCCCTCTAGCAAGTCATTCTCATTAATGTCGATGTGTATCATATCCTGATATGCTAAATCAACGCATGAGGAAGACATTTCCCACAAGCATATCGTCATCATCAATTACAATATTTCTCATCTCATATTCTTATTGATCTCTTGCTTCTTTTTGTTCTTTGTTCAACAATTAAAGTGAGAAAAATATGTCGATCAAATGTAAAAAAATAAACAAAGAAAAAATAAAAAAAAAAATCAAGCAGAAGTTAGAAATAATTTAAACTAATATTAAATAAAAAAAAGTCCACAACCCGTCAAAAACTTTTTTTGATTTCAATTAAAAAGTTGTAAATTGGACATAAGAGTCAGAATTATCGTTCCCATGAGAGCTATTATTTATTGATTGCTTTAATAAAGCCAAACTTATATTAGAGTAAAAATATTTAAAAATATTTTTTATTTTTATTTACCCCATTAACCTTTGTTACCAAAACATCACGACAACATGCAAAGACCACTTAATATTATAAATCTATGAAAGTAAAGAAAAGTGTCACTAATCCAATGCAAATAGTATAAGTGACTCAAGTATGTAAAGTGTCACTAATCCAATGCAAGCAAGACTCCAAACCTTAGTTTTGTGAGAAAGGGCATGCCAATCACTATCAATAAGTATACTCTCCTATTAATGAAAGTCAAATCATGAGAGTGCAGCAGGACCTACACTTATTATTTTTATTTTTCTCCCTTGTACTTTGAGCATTTATATTTTTCAATTTTCACATTTTTCTAGCACATCATATTTTTCACATTTTCTAGCTCATTTATTTTTCATCTTAAGTACATGTTCTTCTCCATTAGGCAATTCAGATAACCCATGTAGCAAGCTTTAGGTCGGTCAATCCAAGTCAGTTGACCATAGACACTAGATTTTAGGAGACCTCGCAAGCTTAATTGCTTGAGTCAAATAGGTTCTGAAGAAAAAGATTAAGACATTGAGCTTTTAAAAGGAGGAAATTCTTGGATTTAGGTCTACTAAATTTGGTCAATTCACGTTCAAAGTCACCCTATTAACATGTGATAACCATTCTAAATCTCACACACGCGATAGAGTCGCACTAACAAATTCATAGTATGTGCAGTACGGATGGTACATGAAGACACCTATACTAATTAATCTAAAATGACCTAAACAAGAAATGAAAATTATTCTACAACTTATCAATTTCAACTCATACATAATAACAACATGCAAGTTCAAGAAATATATGTCATGTTGTAGAAGTGTTCCATAACCAACTATTTTTGTGTTTTTCAATTTTTTTGTATTTTTTTTAAATGAATGCTTACACACAAAAGAAAAAACAAAACTAAGCACACAAAAGAAACACAAACTATGCATGCTCCAAAGCAAAACCAATCTAATTGCATATGCATGAAACCAAAAACAAAGCAACAGAAACATAAAAACATACAAGTGATGTATGCATAGATAATATGACATTTAAGAACAGGCATGCATCAAAAATATCAAATCATCTAGGTATTTGAGTGCTCTTTCCCTTAAGAGTATCGTGATCTGCTACAAGGTTTGTCAGATAACTTTTCTTTACCCAAACATGTCTAGTGTGAGAATAGTTCTCAAATATTTGTGTCACCAATTTAGTCAAACGATTCACTTGACCAATAAGGAATCCAATCTGACCCACAGATACCTGATTTATGTTCTTATTCAAGTTCATGTTGTTCCTTATGTTCAGGTACTGATGATATCTAGGACGGATGTGACCTAACTCACCATAGTGAAAGCATGTAAGGATAAACCTAGGACCTGTGTTATGTGAATGCTGACATCAATTCCTAGGTCGACAGGTCCTACACCATCTAGTAGACCTCTATCCTACAAATCCCTTTTTCTTTGGTTTGAGTTTAGGCACATGTTTAGGCTAGTCTTTGGCAGGAACAAATGTGGTCTGGGATGTGCTAGCAACATCATGGTCTTTTTCTTTGTATCCTAGACCTCCCTTATTTCCAGCCGACTTACCCATTCCTAGAATGTTATCTAACATAGACGACTCACTGGAAAAGGAAAGCAGTTAAGACTTTAAGTTCTCTAAATCGCTCATTAGGTTTACAACTTGGATAAGTAAAGTCTTATTCATGGCGGTCAACACGCTTACTTTCCTAGAGGACCTCTTAAGCTCACTGGTGAGGTTTTTAACCTGAGACCCTAAAGTTTCATTCATAGACTTAAGCTTATACAAGACAGAAAAAGATTCCTTAAGATATGCTTCTAACTTAGCTTTCTTCAACTATAGATTCAGAATATTTGTACTTAAGGCCTTATTTTTATTGAGAATTTTCAGGCTCTCTTGATACATTTCTCATGGGACTCTTCAATATCTTTCTCACTCACAGACTCATCTCTAGAATCTTCACCACTGTCTAAGTCCTCATCTGTCTCACTCCTCGATTCGGATCCACTCTTAACCCTAGCAATGAAGGAAACATATTTCTCACTTTCCTCACCAGTTGATTTCTCACTTTGACTGTCCGAGCTAGACTCGTCATCAGTGAGAGTAGTGCTCATAGCTTTCTCTTCAACTCTCCTAGTACTAGAGCACTCTCTTTTAACATGACCTAGACCTTGACAGTTATGGCACCTCATAGATTTAGATTTTCTCCTAGATTCACTCGAGCCACCTCGTGATTTCTCTTGCAATTTCTTTTTATCTCTAAACATCTTACAGAATTTCTTAGCTAGGTAGGCCATCTCCTCATCATTGGGTTAAAGTCAAAAGTTTCAATCCTGTTATGCCTCGTAATTTTGAAGGCCGATGATTTTTCTTTAGCTGGGTTGCTTATATTCAGCTCATAGGTCTGGATGGATCAACTAGCTCTTCTATCTTGATAGTGTCTATATCCTTACTTTCTTCAATTCCTGTGACTTTAGGCCTAAAATGCTCGGGTAAGGATCTAAGGATTTTTCTCACTATCTTAGTCTTGGAGATTTTCTCACCGAGGTTGAAGGATGAATTCATAATGTCATTTAAACTAGCGTAGAATATAGCAAAGGTCTCATCATCTCTCATCTTAATCTCTGCAAACCTAGTGGTCAGCATCTGCAGTTTGGAGTTTTTAACCACCTGTGTTCCCTCATGTGTGGTTTCTAAAATGTCCCAAACTTCTTTATCTACCTCACACATGGACACTTTCTTAAATTCCTCGGGGAAAATAGCCATAAAAAGGGCATGAATGGCTTTAATATTCCAGTTGCAACTATCTAGTTCAGCCTTAGACCAAGTTTCTATGGGGTGGGAGTGACAACATTGTTTACAGTGGTACTAGGGACAGATCAAACATTTACTACACTCAACCAGATCCTTTCATCCATAGATTTCAAGAAGGTCCTCATCCTAACTTTCCAATATGCATAATTACTACCATCAAATTAAGGCAGCACACTCAATGAAGTACACATCTAGACAAATGTAAGGTCAGGACACGTGTTTAGGCTCTGATACCACTTGAAAGTTCGAGGTTGGGATGCAACACACTACTTTAACTTTTAAGATAACCAAGTTTATGTTCTAGATTACCAATTTGTTCGACCTTAAGTGCCGAATTTCCCGATTATAGCAAACTAGTCATTTTAATTAGTTTTTAGATGGTTAATCATACAAGTTCATTTTACCCTAAGTTTGAATACCGCAGTTTGTAAAAATATGTTTGAAAGTAAAAACACATGGTTTGATGACAGAGAAACCCAACGTGGGAAACACTTTGGGACCAAGCCAGTAACCTCTATTATCGTCTGTTCAGGGAATACATAGCAATTTCTCAACTTGTATTCACTAAAACTCGTTGTCATAGCCTTACAATCTACTTCCATAGATACCTCTAGCTTTCTAGACTCATGCTCTATTTCTTGTAGTCTCCAATTACCATAGACGCCTCCAGTCTCGTGCAGCCCAATCCGTTGTCTCCTACAGCCTCCTAGTCTTACTCTAAATGTCTCTCCATGTGGAACACCAAGAACCTCATGTTCTTATGCTTGTAACTACGCTTCAATCCACCTCTCACAATCCCCTAATGAGAGAGTCCCTCCCTTAATCAATTAAAGAAGCTAGGAGCTTTGTATTGAGAACTTTGATGATTTCCCAAACTGGTTGCTGGATCCCAAGATGAAAGCATTTGATTTCTCCAATGAATTTGTTCTTGGATCATAGAGAAGATTTGAAAGTGTAATGGAGATGAAGAATAATTTGGCAACCTTAATTTTTCACGTCCCCAACTTTGCTATTTATACTTGGCGGTAAATAAATGTCATGAGCCGTGTAAAATTGTCCAAAGCGCGAACTAGGGTTTGGCCACATAGCAATGTTGCTCGAGCGACGTTGAGCGAGAAGCGAGCGACAGCTTCTTCGCTCGAGTGACGCTTGGGCGAACAGCGGGCAATGATGATTCTGTTTTCTTCTCTAGAGCAACACCTTGGTGAGCAACTAACTAAAAACCGGTGAGTCTTCTACCTTGTTCCAAACTTAACCCTAGCCTAAACCATCCATACAAATTGCACTCTAAGTCCTTAACTTTTACAACAATGTTCAATTAAGTCCCTAACTTTTACAAACATTCAATTTAGCTCATTTTGTTTACAGAATCCCTAATTACAATATTGGACCTAACATATATCAATTAACTAAAATCAGTGCTCTAAAAAGCGTAAATCTTGAATTGGTATAGAGGCCAAACTTCAAACTTTACGAGCCTAAGCAAGCCTAGCAAGGCTTAGGCATAAAAAGTGTTACTTTATTAATTACTATTTTAAATACCTAATCATTCTAAAAACTATTTAATAACTAAAATAATATATACCTAACATAAGAGCATTGTTCTCCCAATCTTTTGGATATGTACATCCAATTTCTTACAAATTGATAAAGACTAATACGAGCTTTGAATTTTATTTTGTGGCTTCTTTTGACATAATATCCAACTGTAGGCGCTTGAGGTGTTAGGAAATTTTGCCAGTGACTCAGCAAAATCTCGTGATCTTGTCCTTAGTTATGGAGTGTTAACACCCTTATTGTCTCAATTTAATGATAAAGCAAAACTATCCATCATGAGGAAAGCAACGAGGACATTGTCAAAACTTTGTCTTCAAGAGCCACCACCTCAGTTCGAGCAGGTTTGTCATCTAATTGATTTTCTGTTCGTTTTGATACATATAAAGACTATTGGACATTTATATATTTAACCAATTCCTTTTGGATATTAATAAACAGGTGAAATTTGCCCTCCGTCCTCTTGCTTATCTGATTCATACAGGCGATAAACAAGTCCTTATATGTGCATGCTCGGCACTACTCGTTCTAACTGATCGGGTGAAGGATACAATCCAAGTTTTGATCGATGCTGGTGTTTTCACTCATTTGGTTGAGCTTATACTGTCAGTAAAAATATCATACTTGATATCGTTCCTTGTTTTTTGTTTTGTGACTATGTTTTTGTTTATTGAACTTCATGGCTGTGCTTATTTGGTTTATTTGTTTGCAGATATCCTTCACCACTTCTTTTGATTAGTGCCCTGTGTATTGTTCGTAATATTATTTCAGAAGTAGATGATATCCAGATTCAGGTGTGACTCTTTTTCTCAACTTTCTGAGCACATGAATTTGTTGTTATAGGATTCTGTTTTTCATATCAATTTTTTAGGCATCACTCTTATTCTTTTGCGATTATCATCTAGTGTGTTGCTACATTTCTGAAATCAATCCTATTGCTGTGGCATTGATCTTATTCTTTTGTGATCATCCTTTAGTTTGTAGCTACATTGAATTCGTTGTGCAGAACCATATTTGTGGTTCTCAAGTTGTATGAGGGTATATCTGGGTATGCCATTTTGACACTAAGAATCTTCCTTGACTAGGAAAATACTTTTAGTGAAAATATAAGGAGACAACCCAATTCTTTGATGACCCTTTTTTTTCACTTAGATGAGAAATCAACCTTTTACACTCTTCGACCACTTTAACTCTAATAAGAATTTCAATGCTAAATCCGTAATTAAAGATCTCAAGCTGTGTTATCATTTTTACATCCTTGCTTCTTTTGAATGATTTCTAGGTTATCATTGATAAAGGGGCTCTTCCTAGCCTGCTTAACTTGTTGACACAAAATTATACCAACAGTGTCAAGAAGGTTACTTGTTACATAATTTCAAGTATCATTGGGCGTACTAAGGATCATATTGAGGTATGCCAGTTACTATGAAATTGTTTTTTTCCTTTGTGGTATTACTCAATGCATTAGTTAAAGCCTTGAGATAAATAAGCATTTTTTTTTTCCAATTGTAGAGGTGTTAGGAATGATATTAGAGTGAAGATCTTTTTAGTTTCTACCAGTAAATTATTGTTTTGGACATTCTCTTGCCATGTTTCACAATGTTTTGAATCGTAGTAGTACTTCTGGTTTGATGAATTTGACATTTGTACTTCTGTTTCTGCTTTAAGTTTTCGGTTTATCTCTTAAAATAATGGATACTGAGGATATGTCATCTTAATACACAGGTTTTGATTGAGGCTGGTAATATTTCTCCTCTTCTCAAACTGCTTCAAAATGCTGATCATTTCGTACAGGAAGAAGCTTGTAGGGTTTTTCTAGCAATCTCAGAGGGAACTAATGAGCAAATAAAGTAAATTCTTCACAGCTATTGTCATATTTCCCTAGCTTATTGTACAGTACATTGAGGATGAGTATTAATGCTTCATCTTGGTGGCAGGTTCTTGGTGAACGAGGGTTGTATAAAGCCATTCTGCGATCTTATAGTTAGTCCCAACCAAGTGATTATCATCACGTACTCTTTGTTATTCCTTGAGAACATTATGAAAGTTGGAGAAGCCGAGAAGAACCAAGACAACACTGAAGATATGAATGTCTTTGCTTGGATGATTAAAGATGCTGGGGGTGTACAGATAATTAAGAACCTCCAGACTCATGATGACCCTAAAATACGCCGGATTGTCAAGAAGCTACTTGCAACATATTGGCAGGAAGAGGATTATAATGATGAGGATGATGATGAAGAGGACTCTGATGCGAAACCTAACATCCCATCATGACTTTCAGTTGTTTTTTGGTGATGCTCCGCAATCTGGGCTTTATTATACAGATATTTGTCATTTACTTTGTTTTTTGTTAAAAAATTTAAAGCATGTTTAGTACAAATCAATGGATTGAAATTTAGAGTAGACAACATTAAAGATAAGATTTCGAACCTTACATCAAGGGCTTTAAAAATGTCTACGTAAAATCTGGATATGGTCTTCAAGTGAGCCATCACCGAGAAAGTAACGTTCAAGATGAAATAGGAAATTATATAACAATGGTTTTATTTATTTTTTATTTATTTATTTTATCCCACTGAATTCGAAGTCAGTAAAATAAGAAACTCTAAAATGGTAAAATTATATCTAATAAAATACTAAGTTGGAAAGATACATAATTACAAAAGTTTCAAAATATATTTTCAAAAATACCAAACTTTTTTGGAAATTTTTAAAAAATTAGGTAGTCATATTTTGTCATCTCAGATAAAATATTGTGACGATCACAATAGCAAACAATTTAGAGTCATGATCACATAAAGTCACAATAACAAAAAAAAAATGTGGGTCACAATCATGTACTTTAGTCACAAATAACAGATTTAATATGACACATTATTTATTTAGCCCTTGTTTTGTCATTTTTCAAAGGGTTAATTTCACAAATGGACACTGAAGTTACCAAAAAAATACAAAATGGTCACAAAAGTTAAAAACTTTCAACAACAATCACTGAGGTTCTGGGCGGTATTACTAATGGTCACTTAAGTTTAAAAATTTTCACAAATGGTCACTGAAGCTACCAAAATGATTGAAATTCAAACTTAAGGACCCAATCACGAGACCATGAAATATTTGTGGACCTCAATCGCAATTGAACTGTTGTGAAAAATCTAAAACGTGGGTAATTGAACGACAACACCAATAGCTTGAAATGTACTAATTGGTGCAATTGAACTGTTATCCATGGTTGTATGATGCTGCTGGAGACTCGATTGGGACCAATTTTGTGATTCAATAATGTGGAGAGGAGGAATTGAAGGAGGAAGATCTGTGTGTGGTCATTGGCTGTGTTAATTGGGACCAATTTTTTCGATTAAGCCATGTTGGTTCGAAATTGGCGGTGACCCATAGGTTCATTGGATGCGTCATGAAGAAGTAGTCCTAGGGGTGGTGGTCCATGACTGTGGGTAGCGTCTTCGGCACCAAAAATTGGGGCTGAATGCTCTAAGTTCGTCGTTGTAAAAAATGGCTGGAGATATTGATTTTTTGAATTGTTTGTTGTTATAATAGCATCTTTGGGTGCATGATGATGATCCTGGTCAAGCTAGAGGGTGGGCTGGTGGTGGGTGTCATCGAAAGTTGCATTTTTTGTCTCTTTTTGGTTGGATGGGCAGCCTGGATTTTCGACTGTGTTTTTGCTGCGTGGGCAGCCTTCTTTGATCGAAATATTTAGGCAGATCTGATGGATTTTCAGCCATTGGTTGGGTGAGTTGAAAAGAGTGAAATGAGGGCTTCAAGGTGGTATGTTGATCCGACGACCAAGGTGGTTGGAAGTTGGAGATGTGGTGGTCCAAAGGGGGTTACTCAAAATCCTCAAAATTCACCACCTTCCGGCCACTGGTTTGGCAGCCTCCTTTGACCGAAAATTTCAGGCAGATGTGATGGAGTTTCGGCCATTGGTTGGATGAGTTGGAAAGAGTAAAGTGAGGGCTTCAAGTTGGTATGTTATTCCGATGGCCAAGGTGGTCGGAGGTTGGAGTTGTGGTAGTCCAAAGGTGGTGTTTCAATATCATCACAATTCACCACCTTCCTAGAAAATGCTCCACCTACAGGAAGTTTGCGCCTGAGGTCCTCAAATATTGTATGGTCTCGTGATTGGGTCCTTAAGTTTGAATTCCAATCATTTCGGAAGCTTCGGTGACCTTTTGTGAAAATTTTTAAACTTAAGTGACCATTAGTGAAACCGCCTGGAACTTCAATAACCGTTTTGTATTTTTTTGGTAACTTCAGTGACCGTTTGTGAAATTAACCCTTTTTAAACAACTCTTTTTCTTAAACTTATTTTCAATCATATTCATACTATAAAATATTTTGTAGGTAAATCCAAATTTTTCTTACTTTTAAATCATACATTTTCCAAAAAAATCACTATTCCAATACTCATTTTTCAAAAGAAAAATCTTTTTAATGACTACCAAATAGAGGCTTAGTCACAAATTACCCAATTTATTGGTCATAGACACTGTTCACAACACTTAACATCACTCACCCAACCCACTCAACCACCACCATCAGCACCATCAAAATCAATCGCCACCACCTTAAATCCATAACCACCCCCACCTCTTCACCTCAATTCACAACAACACCACCCTGTCAACTCAAATCCACACCATCACATCCACCTCATCCTACCCGCCCCACCCCCACAATTCCCAAATTCTTGTCACCTCCACCTTCAATTCACCATCACCATCTCCAATCACCACTACCTCCTCCACCTCAAATTCACCACCTCCTCTATTGATTTTAGAACCAATTCATGTTTTGAGCTCGAAACCTCTTTGGAGCTCCATAACTTTTTGAGCTCTTGAAGCCTTATGAGGCAAGAAAGTCTAGTCAGATATCGTCATTAACTCTGTGACACTAACTTAGGATGTCGAAATGAAATCTAGAGCTTATCTCAAAGCCTCGACGATCTACTTTGCATCAGGGATAAATTCATTTTCGTTTTTAATCCAAATCCACCATTTTTTTAATATAAATTTTGATGTTTGAAGAAATGTTGGTCTAAAAAATGTGTGTGGGAGAGAGAGAGAGAGAGAGAGAGAGAGAGAGAGAGAGAGAGAGAGAAGAATTTATAGATATGCATTGTAGATAAAGAGTAAGAGTGAATAGAGAGAGGGTATGGAAAGAGAGATTAGAGAGAAATGATATATAATTTTCTAAAATAATAAGTATTATCTGATTATTAAAAAATAAAATAATAATTATTAACTGATTATTGAAAAAAAA